TTATTAATAATGTATAAATATTGAATTACAATATTATTTTATTTTAATATTACGTCAGTTGTTAATACAGCATTTATTTTCTGCACCCATTCAGTATCATAAAGGTACCTTCTGAGATTCCTTTTATAGATTTAATTTACGGCTGGTGGTACCCTTGAGGGACATAAAATTACGTAACATGCCCATCTGCTATGTCGGTACAGATATCGAATCAGGCAAGGCTGGGCATTCGTTTCATTCATGAATGTAAGTTCCTACGTCAGTAGCTGCCCCCCCGAGGAGGCGCGGTTTCCCCCTTTCGGGTAAAGCCATTGCGCAGACACTGGAATGGGTAGGTGACGTCAAAGCTTTCATGCAACAAGTGTTCCTATAGAAGAATAAGTAAGTATGAATACAAGTCTATTTATAACTGACCGAAAAAAGCTCACGTACCTACATTTTTGGATGAGTTAACTATAATATTGCTGCAGTATGATGATCAACGAACTACGCAACGCTAAGTAAGATCGAATAAAATGTATGTATACTGTACATGAATTTTGTAATAATTTCTAATTTTACATATAAGTTTTGAGTTTTTAATGCAAGGAAATATCGCCTGCGTAAGACAATTCCCATTTTGTCTTGTCGGTGCCGTAAGAGGAGACTATTGGATAGACAATGGCTTCCAATAATAGTAATCATTCTGTTTACGCCATACATATAATACAAAGATCGTTGACGAAGTGCGAGACATCTCCTACGATCGCCAATTTGCCTCTCAAGCAAGGCGCTTATGGAAAATTTCTATATAGCGGGAGAGGCTCATGACTTATAAGAGCTGACGATGATGAAAAACTGAAATGACAGCGTTCTCGAGAAAATTCTATATATTTTTTTTGTCCATAACCTCTTCCCTTTTACATTTTTATTATTAAAACTATGGGTAAAATAATGAATTTAACTAGAAGTGTATGAAATTAGGAATTAAAAATATATAAATTACTATAGTTGCGGAAGTAACAGAATACAATACAATAATTTTGGTATATATAATTAATATATATCAAAATTATATACTGAAATTATGACATAATACTTATTGAAAGTCAAATTTTTATTTAGCACTGTCCGGAAAATACCTCTGTCCTGGAAAGAACCAGAGGGATATTTTTTTAGACAGTCATACAATTTTCTATAATTATTTATATGAATTTTAATAGAACCAGCATAGCGATCACCTTCTTCCTAGGGGTTATTTTCATTCCTGTATTCCTTTATATTATAATAATACGTTTTGTACAGTTTTTTTAAATAAAATTTTTAAATTTCTTGATCTATATACTTTAAACTTTTTTTGGGATTTAATTATAAAAGCGTTGCCCCATAAATGAATTACTGATTCTGTGAAGTCTAGTAACTTGCATTACAAGCTTGTGTTTGTTCTGGTTTGTTCCTATTATTTAAAGTATTAACATCTTTGTTCTTAACAAACCTATTTATGTTTTTATGTTTGTACATAAATTGCATTTTCTTAAATATATTGCGATGCTAAATATCTTCACTTTAAAATTTTTGATATGAATAATTAACCAATTTTATTCCATATGTTTGCAAAAGCGCCATCTAGCGCCATAAGCTCTTACTATTCTAAAACGTAAAGCATGTTAGTAGTCCATGTCTCTGTACGTTGTTGACATGTAAGTAGTGGTTACATTTTAGCGTTAGATGGCTGCTTAAAAATTTGTAAGCTCTATGTGTCAATATAATTGATTAACTGGCAGACGTCGTTTTGCCCTTTCCGGTAGGTGAAACTCTAAGTAACGATGTGGATTGTAATGAACTCTTTATTTATTTCGAACTTTTTATAGTGTAAATATAACATTTGTTTAATAACTCAACTATAGCGATACCTATCGAGTCCAGATTTTGTGATTTTCTTTCTTAGCATAAAAGCAATAGAATATGAGTAATAGAATAATTTTGGTCCATAAAGATATACTTTGTGAATAATTTGACTACAGCACTACCTATCGGATCCTAGTATAGATAAAAAACCATCGTCTCGACAAAAGAAAAAGTGTATTCCGTGAATATGATCTCAATTGGTCTAGTTTTCAGAAGTTACACACAGACGTATAAACGATTTCATAATAAACTAGTTTGAACTTTAAAACTAGCTAGATTATGCAGGCGTTGTTCTACACTTCTGGAAGGTAGTGCGATGAGTTTCACTCCGAATCCGATCCAAATTTTTTTATAGGAGAAGCATAAAACTTATTAATAACTCGATCACAACGTCACCTAACGGGTCGAGATTTTGTGCTTTTTTTACACTAAACCAAATATGATTATAAATATGAATCATTTTGATTCAAAAATATAAAATTTGTTGATAAATTGACTACAGTGCAATTTGATCCCAGCATAGAGTGAATATGGACTTAATCTGTCATGTTGTTCAGAAGTTACACGGACAGTAAAGACGCACCAACGATTACGATAGAGATGATAGCTCATTTAAAAGGAAGTTGAATAATATGAACATTGTACAAGTTGAAAAATACGTATGTCGCTACATATAGAGCTATCTATAGAGTCAAGTTTAGTTGAAATTAAAAGAAATACGAGTATACTAAAATAAATAACATAATTCACCTTCTGCAATAATACTTTTATAAATTAATGAATGTGTTGGGAAAAATGTGGTCCACACTGAAGAATTTTTCTACACCAATATAGGTTGGACTCACTGGCCAAACACTTTCTTCTTCAGGACATATGGTATAGGTGCTGGAAAGACCTGATGAAGTTTCTCAAATGTCTTTTTATATCTAAATCCATCATTCCGTACTAGTAGTGGCCGTCATTGATCGGTGAACACAAGATCTGGGTTTTTTTTCCACGATATGAATGAAATGGGGTAGTAGTATTTTAATGTTGCCACCACAAGGAAAATTGTAATTCACAGTATTGAGATTGTGATAGACTTTCTTTAAAATAATATGAAGTGTTTAATAAGAATATTTGGTTATGACCTGTGACGATCATAGTTAGAATACTAGGTCATGCTCATATAATTATCGTATTGTCATCATACGTATGCAATATTTCAGATTATTAAGACGGGAGGAAGTGGGTGAAAAGTGAATTATAAACTGTCATTATATTATTCACACTTATACTCGTAAATGTTTAATAAAAGCGTGTGAAATAATATTAGAGCTTAAAAAACTTTAACAACATTGATAGACAATGAGCTGTGAGAATCATAGTAAGAATACTATATATTATAGTCTTTATACGTATGACATATTTCACATTATTTAGACTACCGGGAGTAGGCGAAAACTGAATTATTACATTTGATTACATTCATATATGCACTCATACATGCGAATACAGATTAAAATTATGTAAAGCGTGTATATTACTCAATCAAATAAAATGCATTGATTACGAGCTGTGATGATCCTAGTGAGAATACAAGGTCTATATAATAAAATTATTGTATTATCGTCTCTTCTTATTATGGCTGATAAATTTCAGAATATTTATACATCTGGAAGTGTGGTTAAAATTATATTACAGAATTTTATTACATTCATACATACTCGAACACGTATATAAAGTTAACATAAAGCGTGTACTTTTAACTCGCTTCATATTGGAATGTTTTAGTTTCTCGTCAATTTCTTTCCACGAATGTTTTATTTTTCAAACCACTAGAAGACTTTCATAAAAGTTCAAAATAAACCTTTGATAAAAATACACAGTAGCAGCGTCTTCCTAATAGCGACTGAAAATAAAAAAAAACGCAAAATGACAAATCCCTCTATGTTAATCACCTTATGTTTTTTGTATGTAGGCTGAAACGGTTACGGTATACTCGTAAATTATTAGTATTAACTACATGACGATAGCGACCATGTGGCGCAGTGGTTGAAGTACCTTGATGTTACGTCGTGGATTTTGGATTTGAGGTTCATCCGGTACCAACATTGCTACAGTAACGAATTGACGGTTTTCGGTTCTGATTGTGTTTGATTCTCCCCGTGTCTCTGGCATCTGTAACCGAACCTTTCTCTTATAATTATAGGTTAATGATGTCAGTTAATGAAGAAAGTTGTGAGTTTTACAAGAAAAGTACGTGATGTGCTTTTTTAGTGGAAAACTAATCTTCATTAAAATCAAATTGAAATATAAGATATCTTGTTGATATCTCTAAGAATCAATTCCGTGCGAAGAAAAGACTTCAACGCGTTTCTTACATAACGTTAATATAAATCATTTGTGTAATTTTCTTTTACTTAAAAGTTTATAAAATTTTAATTTCGTTCTGCAGATGATTTTATATACTTATATTTTTCTTACTCATATTATTTCTTATAACAAGACAAATAAACGAAACCAAAGTTTCCCTAAGTACCTGCGTCTTAAGCATTTTTTTCTTGGAACGGCGAGCGACTAGCATCGAACAATAAATAGTGGAATCCTTAGGCGGCCATTATCTTTGCATCGTGATCACGCAGCTATAGGCGAAGCTTTAAAAGCTACGGGGACGGGGTTACCGCGACACGGGCAGGTTGCGGGGCCGGGGTATCAAGAAAGCCTCCGCCCGCCAGTACCGCGCCAACTGTGCCGCTGCCCGCATGCCGCATACGTAATATATTTTATGTGTTAACGTAACACGATTTTGACTGAGAAGTGTTTTGAAATAGTGATAAGCGTTAGATACAGAGTTCTTTAAGTGTTTGTATTGTGACTTAACAAACGGAATTGGCATGAACTAGTGTAGATAGTGTGTGTCACGTGTGTTTACGAATGATTGTGACAGCGTAGGCGCAACGGCCGGTCGCTCTCTCGTGAGATATTCGTGCTCGCGCAGGTCGTTGCGGCCATGTTGCATACCTGAGGTGAGTGAGTGCGCGAGTCTGCGCGAACGGGACACAGCGACTCTTCCAGGCGGACGTTATATTTTGCTGAAGAGGAACAATTTTTGCGATGCTTTTATCAGTATCATGATCAGTATGGTGCGGTGGCACGTGGTGCTGGTCGCGGTGGCGCTGTTTACCGGCGCGGGCGCTGGCGCCGCCGCCGAACAGATGCAGTCCCGTGCCGTTGACACCGGTGTAGATCTCAAAATAGCTGAAGCTCAGCCTGTGGGAACTGTTGTTGGGAGAATCCCAATCAAATCCGGGTTTACCTATCGTTTTAATGAACCACCTAAAGAATTTGCTCTTGATCCAGTTTCCGGGGAAATTAAGAGTAATGTCATTTTGGACCGAGAAAGCGTGGATCGCTATGCTTTTGTTGTACTGTCAAGTCAACCGACATATCCAATAGAGGTACGAATAAGAGTAACAGATGTAAATGATAACTATCCAGAATTCCCTGAACCAAGCATTGCTGTAGCGTTTTCAGAAAGTGCTGCCGCTGGAACAAAGTTACTTTTAGATGCGGCGACGGATAAAGACTTAGGGGAGAATGGAATTACTAACGATTATAGAATAGTTGATGGTGATAACGAAGGGAAATTTCGTTTGAATGTTACTGTTAATCCAAGTGGACAGACATCATATTTACATTTAGAAACGACAGGAAAGTTGGATCGTGAAACAAATGACTTTTATGTATTAAATATTTCGGCAAGGGATGGCGGGAGTCCTCCCAAATACGGGTATCTTCAAGTTAATGTTACTATTTTAGATGTTAATGACAATCCTCCTATTTTTGATCAAAGTGACTTTTCAGTATCTCTCAATGAAAGTGTACCACCTGGGACAGTAGTGTTAAAAGTGACTGCTACGGATAGTGATTTAGGTGATAATAGCAAGATCACTTATGAAGTAACTGATACTGAAAAACAATTTGCAGTGGATCCCGAATCAGGTGTGATAACGACTCTTAAAAAACTAACATGTCCTAAATATTGCAGTAATGCAACATGTAATATGACTTGTGTGCTAACTGTTATTGCTAAAGACCATGGTGTTCCTAGGCAAGATGCACGTACTTACGTCACTGTTAATTTGATTGATGCCAATGATCACGACCCTGTTATAACATTTACCTATGTTCCTTCAACAGCCAATTTTGCTACTGTAGATGAAAATGCCAAAAACGGATCCTTGGTAGCTGCAATTACAGTGACAGATTTAGATGCTGGATTGAATGGAATTACTAGTGTTAGAATTGTCTCCGGGAATGAGCTTAATCACTTTCGTCTAGAGAATTCTTCCAGTGTTCACATTGTTCATGTTAACGGCGTTTTAGACAGGGAAGAAATAAGCAAATACAATTTAACAGTAGTTGCCACTGATAAAGGTGTGCCACCACGTACAGCTACTTCGTTTTTAGTAATACATGTCAATGATGTAAATGATCATGAGCCTGTTTTCGAAAAATCTGAGTATTTGGCTGTGTTGAGTGAGCTTGCTCCTCCTGGTACTTACGTTGCCGGGATTACGGCTACTGATGAAGATACGGGAGTAAATGCTGAAATATATTATGATTTTTATGATGGAAACCAACAACAATGGTTTAATATTGACCATTTGACTGGTTTAGTAACAACAAAGTCGATATTAGACCGTGAAATTCAAGGCACAGTAGAACTTAATGTATCAGCTAGAGATGGAGGACCCAATCCTAAATGGGCATATACGAGATTAAAAATAACCATATTAGATGAAAACGATGAAGCACCTTCTTTTCCACAATTTGTAATAAATGCAACTCTACACGAAAATATTAAGCCTATAAAAGATATTCTTATATTAACAGCATCTGATTATGATCAAGGAACAAATGGTTCTGTTTCTTATTATTTGCCTTCTAGTATTGAAAGAAAATACCCCAACACATTTGTATTAGACCCAATTACTGGACAACTAAGTACGGTAATCGAATTAGACAGGGAAAGAATACCAGTGTATGAAATACAAGTAATTGCTAAAGATCAAGGATTTCCTCCTCAGTCATCAACTGCTAAAATATATTTAAAAGTTCTTGACGTTAATGACAACGATCCATTTTTTTATCCCCAAAGGTACCTTGAGACAATTAATGAAAATTTACCTCCTGGATCCAAAATACTTCAAGTTAAAGCTATGGACTTTGACGAGGGGGATAATGCAAAAGTAATTTACAAGTTGGAAAGTGGAGGTGATGGATATTTCGATGTTGAGCCTTTGACTGGCAATATAGTTTTACAAAAAGATTTTCATAAAGCTACAAAGTCGTTGTTTTCATTGAAAATATCATGTAAGGACAAAGGAAATAGACGTGCTGGTGAAGACGCTACTGTAGAAATAATAAAAACATCACAGCTAAAAAATATAGTTTTTGAAAATTATGATGGATATAGCTTTAAGATTCTTGAAGATGATGGATTATCAAAGGCACAAACTGGTCGTTATGTCGGTAAAGTTAATGTAAGATTGTCGGGTGATCCTGTATCCTATTATATTGTAGACGGTGATTTTAAACGTATTTTTAAAGTTGATGAAAAAAACGGTGTAATATCAACAGAATCTTATATAGATCGTGAAGATAAAATGACATATCGTTTAAAAGTCATGGCGAGAAGTAGGCTTGCATTTGGATTTACAACAGTAAATATTTCAGTACTAGACGTAAATGATAACTATCCAATATTTATAGAAGAGAAAGATGAAATAAATATACCTGAAAATATGGCAGTTGGACAAGAAGTTTATTTTGCCCGAGCTACTGACCGTGATTCTGGCCCTAACAGAACGATAACATATACATTAAGTTATAATCCAGATAATAGTTTTCGCATTTCGGAGACAACCGGGGTTATTTACTTGAATAAAGCTATTACTATTGAACCGGGTAACTCAATTTCACTAGAAGTAACGGCTGCTGATAATGGGAACCCATCTCTTGCTACAAAACATACCATAACTATAGTGATAAAAGATGTGAACGATCACACGCCAGTATTTGATCACACATCATATGAGACATCATTGTTGGAATCTACATTAGTAAATACTAGGTTTTTCGCAATATCCGCTTCCGATGCGGATTTAGGCCCTAACGGAAGAATATCATATTATATTACGGAAGGTAATGCAGATGGAAAATTTGGAGTATTTCCAGATGGTTATATTTACGTCAAAAGCACATTAGATAGAGAAGAAAGAGACTACTACTCCTTAACTATTGTAGCAACAGATAATGGCAAGCCTCCACGATCTTCACAAGTACCCGTTGTTATTCACGTTTTGGATGAAAATGATAACAGTCCACAATTCACAAATACTACATTTATATTTAAAATAAAAGAAAATGAGCCACCGGATACATTTGTTGGAAAATTAACTGCAATAGATAAAGATATTGGAAGAAATGCTGAATTAACATTCAGCTTGCCAATCGCTCAAAATGATTTTAGAATAGATTCAAGAAATGGATTTATCAGAACATTAAAGTCTTTTGACCGCGAAAGCTTAGCTCAAAACACTGGTCAAAATTACATAACATTGACTGTTACTGTAAGTGACAATGGTAAAATTAAATTGTCAGATTCTGTTCGAGTTACTATTTATATTACAGACGTTAACGATAATGCGCCAGTTTTTACTCGGATTCCGTATAAAGTGGAGGTATCTGAAGGTGCTACCGTAGGAGCTTCAATTATGAGAGTTTATTCGTCAGATGCGGATGAAGGACTGAATGGTGATATTTATTACAAATTAGTAGGAGGTAACGAAATGGAAAAATTCTCTTTAGACGAGGCTACTGGGCAATTGTTTATCAATAAACCTCTTGACAGAGAAAGTGTAGATAGATATTATCTCACCGTTTTGGCCCATGATTCAGGTCAGACTGTTCGTTTATCTGCTACTACCACCATTTCTATTGAAATTCTTGATGAAAATGACAATGCTCCGGTGTTTACGCAAACACAAATGAAAGTGTCAGTTTTAGAGACCGAACCAATTAATAAGAAAATTATTCAGTTCCATGCAAACGATGCTGATTTAGGTATTAATAATGAGATACTATTTGCTATTACTTCAGGAAATAGGAAAGAAACATTTTTCATTGACAGTTACTCAGGCGAGCTTTTTCTGCATAAACATTTAGATTACGAAGATCTAACGACATATGTCCTTAATATAACTGCCACGGATAATGGGAGCCCAAGTTTATCATCAAGTATTCCATTTACTATAAATGTGATTGATGCAAATGATAATGCACCTGTATTTACAAACACAGCTATTGTACGGCAAATTAGGGAAGGTATTCCAATCCATACTCCCATAGTTACAGTGACTGCCGAAGACCCAGATTCAGGACTAAACGGAAAAGTTTATTATTCTATCACACATCAAGATCCAAATGATAAAAGACGACACTTCGCAATAAATAATATAACAGGTGTCATACATACATTATTGCCCATTGACAGAGAAAATATTGATACATTTCGTATAACTGTTGTCGCCTATGATAGAGCTGAACCGGCTTCTGCGACACTTTCAGCTGAAAAATTAGTAACGGTTATAGTTGAAGATATTAATGACAATGCACCTGTATTCGTTTCGATGAATGCCGCTGTAATTAATGCGGAACGATTAGGTAGAAGTTTAGGGCGTGGTATTTTCATCATGAACGTGTTAGCTCGAGATTTAGATTCAGGGACTAATGGACTTGTGACGTACAAACTTATGCATGGCGGAAATGACATTTTTGATTTACATAGAAGCAATGGCGCCTTAATTTTACGTTACCCACCGGCAATCCCCGAAGCCAGGTGGAATCTTGTTATCAAAGGAACTGATGAGGCTGTGCTAAGTGAACAACGAAGCACAGAAACATATCTAACAGTTATAATGGGAGGAACTGAATTAGAAGGAATCATATGGACAAATGTGGGCATTGTTTCTGTTGCTGAAAATGAACCTCCTGGAACTGCCATTTTAAACATGACCAATAACTTTAAGTCAGCTTTAGAATATTATATTGTCAATGTGACTGGTGATGGAAGGCAAGTGGATAGACTATTTGACATTGATTCCTCGTTAGGAATCCTTTCCACAGCAGTTTCCTTGGATCGAGAAGCAGGCATTGAACGATACGAAGTCGAAATTTGCGCCGTGTCATCGGGAACGCCATTGCAGTCCACTACAACCAAGGTAAATATACGTTTTATAATTTTATGTGTTGTGTATCTTAAATTTTTCTATTAATAAGGTTTTTGAGTGCGTGATAAACTTAGAAATGAGGATATCCGCAATAGAACCAGTGAACGACATAGCCAACGGATTAGTAAGCTGAAGTGGCAATGCGCCGGCCATATAGTTCGAAGAACCGACAACCGATGGGTGACGGACCCCCACTAGACGGAGTGACGACAGGTGGCTCAGGACCGTGCTTTGTGGCATTCTTAGCTTATGTTCAGCAGTGGATTGGTGAAGGGCTGTAATGATAATGATGGTGAAGGTTTTTGACAACTACAAATAGTTTTAAGTAAAAACTTTATTTTTCTCTTGAAAAGAATAATCCAATTAAATTTGCACAATCGTCGGCAAAGGACAAAACAGCGGCACCCTACTGCTGTTAAAATAAAAATAAGTGAAACGAATGCTCGTTAGCGTATGTCGGCTGGCGAGTCTAATCGAAGCCTCTAAATTAACGATAAGTTGTGTCTCGTAACGATATCTCATACATTCATCCTTAAACCTTACAAAGATTGCATGAAAACTTGATTTTGCGTAATTCGTAAGACATGTTTAAATTAAAAGTTAATTTAATTTAAAAACTCTTTCTGATTACTACACTGAAAAGGAATATTACAATTACGATAACGATAATAACAATTCGAGAGAATCGAAGAACATATTAAGTAGTTCCATTCAATTATAAACAATAGCTACTGTTTACCGTCCGTTTTGTTTGGCGAAAATTAAACTTAAGTAATAATTGATATAAAAAGGTTTGGTCGTGTAAAGTAATGCCCGTATGCCCGTGTCGTGTAAAGTATACGACGTAATCGAATTTTATGCCGAATTTCATTAATATCCGTAACGGTTTGATTTAAGCGGACTTGGAGGACAAAGGTTCTTCCTTCTTCAAACACCCTTTTCCATCTATTATCTATACATATAAATAAAATTGAAATGTCTGTCTGTAATATCGAAATAACTGCCTTATAAGCTGAGAGAGTTATTTGCATGCATAGTCACTCTGTCTGTATGTCTGTCCGTCCGAACTAATTTTCAGAATGGCTAAACAGATTGTAATGAAAATTCAGTAATAAATAGAGAGCAATGTCAGGAGTGATGTAGGCTATATTTTACCATAGCTTGGAGATTTTCCTTTAAAAAAATAAAAAGTTATAAAAAAAATTCTTTCATTATCTTACATATAATCTCTATATATAAAAATGAATTGCTGTCCGTTAGTCTTGCAAAAACTCGAAAATGACTGAACTGATTTTGAAAAAAATGTTTGTGTGTTTGAGTGGGTCCCTGGATGGTTTTTTTTTATAGAAGAGGGGGCAAACGAGCATGCGGCTCACCTTATGGTAAGTGACTACCGCCACCCATGAACAACTGCAACACCAGGGGAATTGCAGATGCGTTGCCCGCCTTTTAGAAAGATGTAAGCTCTTTTCTTGAAGGTAGGTAACGCTGCTGTCGAGATCCAGAAATCACCCGTGCAAAGCCTCTATCCGCTATCATGATGAAAGACCACTCCTTTTCTGTTGATCAATTATGGGCATTTTTACTCAATTTCTTGCTTGAGTCTCATTATTTGTTGGCAGTAGCCTTTACTTTACTATACTTTTGTTGACTAATCAGTTGTTATTTTTCCCATCGTTCGATTTTTATTTAACGTATAGTGATCACATCATGGTTTGCACCTACGGATATTTTTCTTTGTAGATTGCTGCAGTTATAATATGATTGTAGTACAATTGGGTCGGCTCAACCAGGAAAGGACCACGTTCTCACAGAATACCAGCATAAAACAGCAGGTTAAAGCTGCTGTGTTTCGTATAGTTTTTCGTATGTCCTTTTCATTGGAAACGAGGCATTAAATAATTTTGTCAAAAATTATATTATGCGGAGGCTATTCTCTTGAGGACCTTTCAAATTTTAGTCCATTAATTAATTTATATGGCTTCATGGTCTTGATTTGTTTTTTTTTTAAATATTTTCACATTACATTCCATTTCTTTAATCAAAAACAAATGAAACTGCGTATGCAGTGTCGAAGATACCAGTAGTCAAGATATCCCGAACACCTGCTTTTTATTAATTCCTGCTTTTTGGTCCAGTCAAACGATCATCCTTAGTTAACAAATCTGTTACACATATAACCCAATACGTATACGTTTATATGTCCTCCTTGAAAATATATAATAATAATGACAATGATTTTTGAGAAACCATCTCCTCGCACTATAAATTTAACACTTATCAATTCTACTTAATAAGAGTCGCGCTGTAACTGTAATAACATTGCGAAACGAATCTGACTAGACTAGTGTAATACCACGTTCTCACATAACATCAGCGTAAATTATCAGTGCTAACGAGTGCATATGATTTACAGCATCCAACTACTATAAAGTTGAGTATACAAAATTCATTTTGATACCACTATACAATGAATTGTGAAAACATTGTAAGAACCTAAAACCATTTCGAGATGTAATTTATAATACGCAATCTGTGGGCTTATGTTACGATTAAGCTGTGCTTTAGAGTAACATAATAGGGTTTGTGATGACCAATTACTAAATATAGCCAGATATTTTACGATAAAGTAAATTTCAAGCCGAATGTTACGAGTATATATTTTTAATTTTCAAATTTCATTTTATACACAACTTGTGCTGTTATGACCTGCCTTTTTACGATTATTGTTGCACTAAAATATGTAACAAGAAACAGGCTAGGGATCAATAATAAAATAAGTTTAAAAGATATGGCAGATATTTATTTCTATGAAAAATTTAATAAAATATTCAATATTACTAATAAAGTGAAAATTGTATTTTTACGGAATTATTTAAGGGAAGACTTTTAAAAAAGCATTACGATTGAGAAGATTATAAAAAAAAAAAAACAATCTTTTGCAAACCAATGAATAGGCCTTAGAATTTAAGAATGAAGACAAACACAAAGATAAAAGTTGTCAACTGTAGTTGTCAATGCGATTCCCTTTAATTTTTCGAATGGCCGCAAGAAAATCAGTGATGGATATTATGGCGCGGAGAGCCGATTTGAGGCAGTTTCGAGAGGGGGGTGAGCTATCAGTCGACACCAAAAGCGCATTAGGGCGTCCTGGCTGCATTCCCTCTGCTGATTTATGCAATGCGCAACCGCCGGTCCGGGCATCGACACCCGCTTTAATGAACGTACAAGTTACGTTATACTGCGAAATAGCATCCATTATTTCACGCCAATGCTAATAGTTCTGCATATGTGGTGCATTTAACCGTCAGTTGGTGTTGCAACTAATTTCTTTGTTCTCTTTGGAGAATTTCTATTTGAATATTTCTTGATGGTTCCGAGTCAAGTATTTTTTGTTGTAGAGCCATTGAATTAAAATCAAACTTTACCATAACTACATCATAATTATAACTCATCATAAGTTCACTGCTGGATATAGGCCTCCCCCACGAAATGCTACTAAGCATTCATCGACTTCCTGCATCTATTACCAGGTCGTCATTCCAACTAGTGGGGGTTAGCCATATATGAATTTGGATACTTCTGAATCTAGTTCTTTACTACTGGCAGCATGAGGAGGCCCTAGAATTCTCGTTTCTCTGCGTGATAGACTTTGTAATGAGGATATCCGATATAGAACCAGAGCAACCAACATAGTCTAACAAACATTGCTGAAGTGACAATGGGCCGGCAATTAGCTCAAAGAAACAGTATAATATTAAATTCCTATTCTGTCGTCAATATTCACGTGCTCATAGTCACCAAGCTTTGTAAGCCGGTTGGCAACCTTAGTTTTTACTTTATGGTCGTTATTAGGAAGACGCTGCTGCCCATCTCCTGATTTGTTTCCTTCCTCTGTCGCCTCTTACGAGTAAAACACCCACGGGATGATATGGAGTAGTGGATATTCTTACACCGTCACTACATGGTATGTATGTTGTTGTATATATAGGTACGTAGGTAATGTATGTTGGGAAAAATAATTTTAGAAAATATTATTTCAGTGTTGTTACTGAACTTTGAAATATTTAATTTGGAATTTATGTAATGTACCTATAAAGGTTGTACAGTAACTAAATATTGAATACTAAAATTATAATTTAAGGGATATAAATAATTACAAAACTTCTTAATTTTATCAATAAAAGGACATAAATTAAAATTGTTGAACTGCCTTTCGACGTTTCAACGTTATTACGATAGCATTCGCTTTTATCAATGAATTTATTGGTGTTCAAAACGGACATACCGATTTGTGAAAACTTAAAATGTTAAATCAGAGTTTCTCAAAAACCGACTCGCCTAAATGCATTCTGAAACCCAATGATAACGATTTTGTGTGGCACGTTCGTAAAAGAGTTATCTTAACAAAAAAAAAAACCTCAATTAAAGTAGGTGCGCCACTTTTTTTCCTAACTCCAATAAATTCTTCGGCTTGTTATAAAAATAACTTACTATCACAGATTAAAAGGCGCTATTTTTGAGTATTACAAAATAAAGCAATTAATGAAAATAAAAAAGATTACGTCACTTTATCAGTAATTAATGTACACTGATAGACACAAATTGATTGACAAGTTGTTGAAAGACGTCGTGACTCGAAAGCTAGGAGCGCTTCTCTAAGCGAATTTCCACGCAAAACTAATAACGGTTAAACATTTGAAAAAACAAGCTATTCATTTTGTCTCCTATTAAGTAAAGTATAAGTTTCTTTCTACGTGGTTTAAAGGTGGTAGAGCCATGCTGCAGCTATATTAGTAGTATAGTTGTAGCACGAATGGGTCGGCTCGACCGGGGAAGGACCACGCTCTCACAGAATACCAGCGTAAAATAGCAGTTTAACACTGCTGTGTTTCGTATGGTGAGTGTAGACAACCGGAGACCGTTTTTACTGGAAAAGAGGCATTCTATCTTAGTCCTCACAGGGTGACAACGCATCTGCATTTTGATTC